GAGATTGGAGGTTTCGTCATATGTATTGTTTGATGTTCACGTAAATACGAATGTTATAAAAAAAATGGATTGAGAGTAATTTTACCTTGTATATCTCTGAGATGCATGAAAGAGTTTGGCATGATCCATTTGAAGATTCCTTGTTTATTTCAGTGCTTCATATAGATGATTATAGAGTATCGAGAACGAATTATAATTGCAAAAATAAAGATACGGTTTACTTTCTTTGAATTGTTTCAGTAGTTGCAGTGAGAATTGAAAGGGTAATACATATTGTTTGTATCACCTTTCATCTTGAGTTAGTCTAAAATAAATTAACATAGAATTGAATTAAGCCAAATACACTTATACCACATAGACTCATATGATAAATGATGAATAATAATGGTTCTAGTCAGCCTTCAATTAACAGCAATGCCGTTGGACCAACGAATAATACTAGCATTAAAAGTATTAAATGAAAATATGGACAATTGAATTAAAGTATGGAGTTAAAACCGATTTCGTTTGTGGTATTAGAAAATGAATCTATAAAATAACAATCAACAGAATACTAATAAATTCAATTTTAATGAGTTAGGGAATTCTGTTTATTAGTAATAGTTTGAAAATTCGTTTATTAACAAACCTGTATCCAAGGGACAAACTTTTCGGGTTCGATGTGAATCTTCGCTACTTTAAAAAATTTAGCTACTAATATGGTAAGCCTTTTCAAGTTTTAAAGATCTGTAATGGAGTCCCGAAGGTTCTTCCCTTTGATACAGATTCGGTAATGATCTAATTTTTCAGAGAGAACATTATAAACAAACCAGATGATCTGATGTGCCTTTGCTACCGTCACCCTCAAAATACTCGTATTTTTCGAGATAAAATTTTTACTTGTTGTCTTTTTTGTTATTTAAGAAAATCAATGAAAATTAAACGATCTGCTTTTTTTCAAAAAGTCATTCGGATTAAAAAAAAATGACAATTCGAATGATACACATATTGTCTCATATATATGTAGTAAAGTATTTCAATGAAACCCAAAATAAAAGTAAAATATATAAGAGAGAAAAAACAAATCAACTTTTTTTATTTCTGTTTCATTAGAACAGTCTTTAGTTAAATGAAACTTCACTACAAGTTAGAAACAGAAGAAAAAAACATGTGAATAGCTTTAAAGAGATTTTACCATGCTGATTTACAATCATGTTAGACGAAAAACTTCATTCGTATATTGAATGAAAGTACAAATAGATAAAATAAAAGAAAGGATCACAATAAAATTCAATAAGAAAATGATGATTATAAATCTAAAAAAAATAAAATGAACAGGATTATAATTTAATAAAAACGAAAATGATGGTTATAAATCTAAACAATATAAAATGATCAGGATTATAATAGAATAAAAAATAAAATGATGATTATAATTTGACAAACAATGAGATGATAATTAATTTGGAAAAATCGAAATTTTACTTCCATGGATAACAACAAAAAATGAAAGATTTTATTGAAATAGTTCGAACGAAATGAGAATGCAATAAATAATGATTTATTTTTATTTAAATAATTCATTTCGAAATCATTTCGAAAGAATAAAAGACTGATTTCGAACATATTTTAAATTAAAATCCAATTTATAAAATAGATTATTAGAAAAGTAATACTATTTAGTCAATGAGAAGTGACAGAAAACAACCTAAGCTATTTTGTAGGTTTTAATTACGTTTTATTTCATTATTTTGAACTTCACATTATTATTGATTGATAGAGAATAAGTTCTTTTACTTTATTTCATGTCTTTTCTGGAAAATTTTAATTTATGAATGAATAAGTTATTCAACCGAATCAAAAATAAGTGTTGATCACAAAATTAAAAAGAAGCTAATTATTCAGAATTCAAACGCTTTCTTAATTCTTAAAGAAAAGCTGTTAGAGAATTGCTTTTCTCTCTTCCAATGAAAAAGAAGTCTGCTATATCTATCTAGAATAATATAATGATAGAAAATGATTATCCTTTTATCGGATAAACGTTCCTCATATAAATTAATTCAAATTATGTTTTAAAATATTGTAAATGATACAAATTAAATGTATGAGCTTAACTTCGGAAACTGAAAAGATTTTAACTAAACCGAGAAAATAATTGCAGTGAGACTGAAGTACACTACTGAACTTAAAAATATCTTAATATTTGCTTAGGGCTCATGAATTATTATTAAATAATATCTCATTAATTGATTTTTATTTACTATCAAGAGTATTATCAGTTCTGGTCTCCTCTCGTCGTGTGAAAAATGAAAAATTGCTTTTCGTTTTGTCTCAAATGAGCGTATATGCATATGCAAGCTGAGAGAACGAAAGAAAAAGTTATAATGTACTGAACAGAAAAAAAGGAAAAGTATTTTAAAAAGTTGAGCTTGGCATACGTAGTACTATACTACGTACTCATACTTCAGGGTATTTTACGAGTTTTGCTATCTTTCTAACACTACCACTTTTAAGCATTAGACTTGCCGTTAATTTTTTCAACTAATTGATATGTTTTAACAACTAATTTATTCACAACTTCTGACACTATTCAACTATATTCTTAACAAATCGTGTGGTTTTCTAAGAGTTACTTTGAATTTGTTTTATACAACGGATAAGCTATAAATGAAAGGATCAAATAGTTGTCGATATGTTTAAATGAATATGATAAAATAAATTATATGTATATACAATACAGGTTAATTCAGCTTCTATTATATATATTGAGTTTTGAGGAATCCCCTTTTACATTTTGATGTGATATGAAACTATTTTGTTAATAAATAACTTTATGATATAAATTTCTTTTAAGACAGTTGCTGCTAGATTTTATTATCATTTTCAATTCCTATTGATATAAAAGCAAACTTGTCATATTTAAGTGAGACGTTAATTATTTAAAATAGCAATTCTTGTATTAATCATTAGTCTGGCTAGAATCTAATCCATTTTAATCTGTCATGTGCAAGCATTCAGTTATGTTGTTATTCTTTAATATTATAGTGTATGCTAGAGAATATAGACTTTGTGAAAATATTTCCTGAAATTTCGATTTAAGACAAAAAAAGGAATGAAAAATCAGTTTATTCTTCTATAACGATATTATTCATCGTATTTCCAGACGATTCTACATAGTAAAATTTTTCTTTCATTCGAATAGTTAGGATTTTATGGTTTCAATTTGGTTTGATCGATTTCTCATTATCTCACTGAACTTTTCTCAAGAGATATGTTAGATTGTTAAAATTTGGTCATTGCCAATGAAATTATCATCATGACGCGTAGGCATTTTAATACATTTATACAATAGATTTTATTCACAATAATTTTTGAATCGAGATGTATCAAATTAGACCTTAAATAAACAGCTGTATGAAGTTCATAAGTAATATGACTTCTCATTAATTTAGTGAAGTTATATCCTTGTTGAAAATGGTAGTCATCAACAATTTATTTTCACTAAAAGATTAGTAGTGTTACTGCCTTGATAAACTTTAATGTTGTTAGCAAAATGCAAGCTTTGAAAGAGCATATTTTTAAAATCTTGAATCAAATAAGACGAATCGAATTTGAAAGCAAAGATTCTTTCTGACTAAAAACAGCTAATCATTGAAATCGTTCATCGCGTGTTCATTTTGAATTTATAAAGAATTCGTTTTGCACATTATAATGATTGCTGCTGTTGATAGCTAATTTTTCGACGGCAGAAAGAAAAGGAATGCGCTATATTTTGTACATAAAGTGTAAATAGGGCGAGATAGAGAAGTGAATGTTATCTGTGCATAACTTTTTTTTATTTCCCTAGCAACGGCCATGAGATAAATCAGCGCGACGAATGTATACATATAATATATTGTACGAATGATACCAGAAGGTCATTCACAATATGAACTAGCAATATATTTTTGTTTTCATTAAACTGTTGATTCAAAATACTCATTCTTTCGGTGAAAATGGATCAGGTGTACGGCATCATGACTGTAAGGTTGCGTTGTCTTTTCCCGTGGAAAATTATATGTTTTAGTGTTTCAGTATCAAATGGTAGTTTTGTATACCCGATTTATGCTTCAGCAAAACCGCAAGGTTTATTGCGCATTCATGTTCGTCCCCGAGTAACAATATCACTACTCACTGTACTAACAGCGACAGCAACAACAACAACATCAACGCCAAATTTTGATCTTATGATAGAAGAATATTTTAAAAACAGGAATCAAAAAAGAAATGAACTCTGGAACGATAGTAAAAGCATTGGTAGCACAAGTTCGTCGTCTGTTCTTGTTGTCGTTTTGATGATCGGGTTCATTTCAGACTCGTATAAACATTCATTAATAAAATAAAATAGTGTATCGAAGCGATGTAACTCTGGCATATTACGTAGTTCATCTATCATCTTGATATTGATCATTTTATGGGATGCAGTAAAATAATATAAAACATATCTTTGAGAATGATTTATTGAACGTGATCAGATTTTAGTTTTTATAAAAACGGTGGATAAAAGCATGAATGCAACAAAACTAATTCTATTTTCTAAGTTTTATAGTTAAAAAAAAGAAGGCAGAGTGATTTTGGTGAAATAGCATGCAACCAACTTCAGTTATAGAAGAATATTATATACCAAAGATCATGTGATGTTGGTATAATTGCCCAATTTTGCACAAGTATGAGGCATATATTGTTGGCTAAGTTATCAAAATGAGAAGTAGAATAAGTATAATATCAAAACGAATGATCAGTTTCACAAATTATAGTTCCATAATGGCCATCCAAGTTCTAATTGAAGTTGATTCGTACTGCTTAAATAAACACACAAACACCAAGTAATGAATTCAGAAGACAATGTAATGCTTGAGATTTGGCAAAGAATTTTTAACAATATTATGGGACCTACACTAATTACTACTAAGATACAATATCAGTTACAAAAAAAAGTCAAAATGTAGCAGTCTTTTTTCTTGATTGTAATGAAAGTATTTTCAATCTTCACTTTTAAAATCTTCTTCGAAAAATTCTTCAGAAGTAATGCTCAGTTGGTGAGATTCTGAATCAGTTAAGTTCTGCATATAGTCATAGATTCTCCGTGGTAAAGGATTAGGCTTTTGTTGAACAGTTTTAACTAGTTTACTTCGTTGATTCGGGCTTGACTCGGTGACACCAACTGAACTCAAAAAAGGATATAATTGTTTTCTGTTTGTTTTTGTTCGATAACTGTGAGTATTACCATGATCTTTCTCAGTGAATGGTGGAGCAATAATATTTATATCTAGCGGTGAATCATTTAGCTGATTGTGCCTTTTTTTAAAGCACAAGTGAAATAAAAAACTCATACACTTTCGGCAATTGATACAGTAGTTATTTTTTTTAAAGAAAATAAGAGATACACAAGCAGCAGTTAATATAGTTAAAATCAATACCATGATGATAAGTCCGATAAAAAATTTTGACCGAATCTGTATTCTTATCGCATGACTAACATGAGAACGAAAATTCGACTTAGTATCTTCTAGATGCTTTTTATGTGAAAGAACTGATTCGATCAAAGATGACATGTCCATCATCTGCTGCAGACTATCGCTGTTAACGTCAACAGGATTAACTGATTTGTCGAGTATGAACGGATTGTCATACGTGCGGCTAAAGGAAAACAAGTAGTTTTCTGTTTTTCCGCAGACACTACCAAACGATGAAAAATCTAGAACACCACACGATACAAAACTATTACAGCATGTTTTGATAATTGCTACCTTTGTTACGTTGCTAAATATATTTTTATTTTCTTTATCACCTTTTTCGAAACACTGTAGAGGAGCATATACACTAACAGCATGTATGTTATTTGCGAACTTCACAACTTGTGGGGAAGGCATATCAACTATTTCTTTTAAACAATCTTTTGTTGAATCGTTCAAAACTGTTGATCGTAGACATGGATTTTGAATCGAACTGAAAACAGGTACTGGAACAGCGCAGAACATATAATTTGATTTCTCATCAACTGTGCACTTTCTTTCCTTATAATCAGACCACTCCGATGAACTTCCATCTTGACTTAGCGATAAAAGGGTTGGAAGATTTGCAGTGTAAACTGCTTTTGTTTCATCGGTAAATAGTGGAAGACGCGTTATATTATAAAGATCTATTTTTCTATTGGAAATATTCGTCGGAATGCCGAAAAAATTTTCGATTCTTATATGACCAACAATTCTCGGAAGAATCGAATCAAGATCAATTGTTTCATTCTTAATCGGTGTGTCGTCTACGTCTGTCTCAACAATAAAATTAAAATCGTCTTCTCCAAGCTCTTATGAGATTTCACTTTCATTTACCTGAGCAAAAGAAAGTATTTGCTGAACTAGAAGATTGGACACAAACTGTGTTAAAGGAGCGGAAAAATTTACGGGCACGTTTGATCGTACACGATTCCAGAGAAAGCCATGAATGAACGCTCTTTGTTCTGGAGAAAACATTTCTAACTTCAAATCATGATTCGCAACTCTTGAGAATGCGTTTATCATTTGTTCATAATGTCTACGCATTTCAGTTTTCAACGAAAATTTTGCCCAGCCTGTAAAAGCTTTTTGTTCTCTTAAAGACATTTTTAGTAAGATATGAATTAGAGAGCGTGTCGTGTTCGCATTATCAAATAGACTCTTAAAACTTTTTAACATAACAAGATTATTATCTTCTAATGACAAAATAGATGTAGTTAATATGTCATTCAATTTTTCTTGATGTTTGTGAAAATATTCACATTCATCTAGGCAATGAATGATATCATCATTACTACCTCGACACAGATCGCCAATGATTTTATATTCACCATATAACGAAGAGGCAACTAGAGCAGCTTGTGCTAATTGTCTTTTTTTCTCGATTTCTGATATGAGCTTCAAACAATTCGTTTAATCGACGAGCACTACTGTTTTCTAAAACACGAGTTCGGTATTGCATACAAGCTTGCATAGAAAATGCCATTGAGGCTGGAAATACATCACACATGAATTGAAATACCGGAACTTCAAGAATAGAATTGATTGTACTTTCTGTTTGAGCGTACGTTCCTAAGTATTCCCATATTGTATTAGTCTGTCTACGATGAAGAAGAGATCTATTCTTGACGGCTTCCAGAAAGTAATTATTTCTATCATGACTGAAACTGAGATCAAAACAAATGAACAAGATGAGTAGAAAATTTTTCAAATTCATGATTGAAATAAATTTTATCATCGTTCTAACAAACTGAAAAAAACTGCTTTGTTTAACAGATTGGAAAGAATAATAGATGACAATGAAAGGGCGACAAGTTCTACCAAACACAAACAAGGATAAAAAACAAATGACGAAAAAATTGTTCTAAACTATATAGATTCTTCTTAAAGATCTATTAAGATCTATATCGTAAGATGATAGCGATATTTAAAGTATGTGCAACTAATGTTTGAATATTATACTGTACCAGAATGATACAATGTTATATTTTTTGAGTGAATTTGTTGACAATCAGTCAATTGAACCGATCATGTAGGAATCAATATGTTGTCTTGAGACACGAATATATTGTTAAATCAAGGTGAAGATTTGCGAAGAGTTGTATGAAATTGCTTGGTACAGTGAAGTGTATCAAGTGAAACTGAGATACCATGTTATTTTATATGATTATATCGCTGGACATTTTCACAAGAACGGAGTGCAATCAGAAAAAATAGCTTGAGGTGAATGCAATTATAGTAATGGATGATTACAATCTTTGACACATGAAAAAAACAGTTCATTGTCACCTGTCAAAGCGAGTATTTTTTGGAAAAGAAACAGAATTTAATCTTTATTAATAGCTTTTATATCATATCGTAATTTATCCATAAGCATTGTACATTATTAATGATGCTTGTTTCATTCATTCGTTCATCTTTAAGCTAAAATTGTCAAACTTTTATTTATTTATTATGAACAAAAAAAACAGAATGGCAAATGACGAAAAGGCAGATAGAAGATTTAATTTAAATGAAATGAACAATGCAAATCGAAAAATATCAACTGATGAATGAAAGTAGATGAAAAGCGGCAAAAGGGTTTGTCAAAATGCATTTCTCAACTATCTAAGTTTCGCTACTGTTGAGTTGAGAACTAGATGAAAAATGGCTTCTTTTTAAACTTTCATATTTGTGACTGTTAAATAAGTCACAAATAAGACAGATATAAATTAAAAAAGTCGATTCATTGAAACCTCTGACAATATTTTTGTATTGAGCCTGCCAAGAGAATATCTGCTCACAAATCTCAGCATTTGTGGTATTTGCGATTGGATCACTATATGGATTAGTATTTTGCCGACACCACGGATCAATATGATTTCTGTAATGTAGTTTATCACAGAAAATCTTTAATGAATCAATTTTTAGCTTTGCTCTAGTGTCTTTAACAAAGTTATTCGGATTATTAATAAACAATTTCAAATGGCAGGCATCATCATAGATGATTATATCAGGATAATTTTCTATATGTTTATACATATAAAGAAGAAAGTTGTAGATCTGTGTGATAGATTCACACCCAAACAATTCATAGAGACTGCAAATGAATCCGCAATTGTAGACTGCCGCTGTAATCCCTGACGTACGATGTAAAATACGCTTATATTGCAATGACTTACGTGTTTTACATCGTAGATTAAATCTAAATTGCTGTCTTCTCGCTCTTGCTCTTCGGTGACGGTGTGTTCTAACAAGATTATTATTTGAATGTGATCCTTCATCATTTTCATCAGTTGATAAATGTTCTTGACACTTTTTACTTTTATAAGCTGGTGTAGCAGAACATCCTACCTTAACTTCTCGAATGGTTCCATCTATACTAGGGATTGAGATATTTTTGATAGAACAAACTCTTCTCGTAGCTTTTTGATGTCCATCTAGCACTATAGTAGCGCTACATGAACCTCGACAAAACGCATGATAATCTATTTTCCCCCACTTTTTAGTGAACAATTCTTGAATAAAGGGCAATAAGTCAAGAAGTGTCGTATGAAAGCCTTGTTGATCTGGAACAGGCATTCTGAAATTTTCGTTTGCGCAAAAATGACCGAGACGCCAAAGAAACCAAGCCTTTTGAAGATGAAAACGATTCATAATATTAGTTTCTTCTTTGTCGAATTTAAAATTCAAATGATTGAAAGCATTAGTGAAGCTCGAAAAGCCAGTATGTTTAAACAAAATATCACTATCATTTTGCATAAGAAGACGTTTTTCGTATCCATAATAAGAAAAAATAAAAAAGATTTCATCATCAGGATGTATAGTCAGCATCTTTTGTCTGCCAGGCCGAATATAATAGTTAGAGAAATATTTGTAACTACATTTAGAACATTTTTTAATAAACATCGTTCCCTTTTTAAGCCTTTCACTAAAACAGAAAATGATGACATCATGATAAGGGATAGGGTTACCGAGATCGTTTTTCGAGCAGCTAGGATTTATGCATTGATGAACTAATGGTATAAAACAGTTCAAAAGAGATGGCGCATAATTTTGGTATAATTCTGAGCAATAAGCTTTTATTTCGTTTTCAATCTCTTCAAAAGACTTGCCTCCAATACGATCTTTATAAATTGGTAGAATTAATTCCCAATTCTCAAGGCAAATTCTTATTTGATCAGACGAAAATTTAGTCTCAAACATACGATTTAACATTGGCCTTATAGGGTGAATACGATGAGGAACGTGCTTATTTATTCTAACATTAATCTGTTGTAGCGTAGCTGCCATTTCGAGAGATATAAGAGGGTATAAAATATTTTTCAGATCAGCTTCGAATGAGGAAGTCATTAAGAGAATTACGTTCTATATTCTAATACTTTTGAATCCTTTTTGTAAATATTCAACAAAAGACATGATTCAAAGGTTAGCGACTATATAAACTCTTTGTCCGCTTTTCACTACTCTTTCTTTCACCTTAAGAACTGGAGAGACTTTTTGACACAAGTACAATGATTAAGAAGAAATGCTGGGGTCAGTAGTGTATATTGACTACCTTACAACATCTCATGTAAACAGATTTTGTGACATACACATAAAAGCACAAAAGAAGAACTTGAATATTCACTTTACAATAGTATGAAGAGAAATTTACATATGAAGAAGCGAGTAACTAGCATCTAAAAGTTTCAATATTACTTGCAAGTATTGAAATAATATGGTTATTGATTTATTGTATAATAAGTGTCGATTATAGTGTAAGATGATTTATAAAGAATAAGTTATGATGCATGCAACCTGGATTTTGAGCAACTTGGTATAAGTGTTCATTGAATTGTTGCCTTATACAAATAAATAATGATATTTAATCCAAATAAGATATAGCAAAAATATTCCAAGGACTTTTATTTGATCTTCTTGTATTGAATATTGCAATTATAATGACAATGAAATTCAGATAAAAGTGTCCAATAAAATTCAACATGAATAAATTCCAAACAAATCAATTTTTTGTTGTAAAATATTGTAACAGCAACAATATTTGTTCCAAATATCTGCACTATGTGAAACAAATACGAACAGGTGAACAACTTGTAATAGCTGTATTCTAAATATCGATTGAAGTAGGAGTTAGTACGAATGCGAAAAGATTAATTACGATCAGATTGTAATACGTCTTCAAACCAATTAATGATAAAAGCTTTCTAACGTTCATGATGTCCATTAACGTGAAAACAAACAGATATTATAAAATTATAAAAAGTACTAATTGTACAACTCTATATTTAAATATACAGTCATTGTTCCTTTTAAATGAATACCCAATTATACACATACTAAAGTCATACTCACGAGAAAAAGAGAACAATTCTCTTTATCACAGCTAGATTCATTTTGGCCTTCTCTCGTGCATTTTATCGTATTTCTGCAGTTTCTTAATATTATCGTAATCACCAAAAATTAGTTCGTCATGTCTTCGAGAACAATATCTGCTCCGAAGATACGAAGTATTATGGAAAAAGCTGCAATGTATACCATGAATGTAATTGAGATCTTCGACGAAAATATTTGTGATCTTATAAACAACATATGTTCGAGTAGTCAAATGCCGCCAGAATATGTGATTACACTGTTGCTTCCTGCTATAGGACATTTTCTTAACGGTAGCCAAATTCGAACAAATACTGGGACGACAACAAACATTCCTTTTTTTACTACAATCATTGGATATCCTAGCGTCAATAAATCAAGTGCAACAGAAGCCATTCTTAGCGCATGTCTAGCTATTGAAAAGCATATCGGAATAAAACCAGAAGAAAGTCGAATTAATTGTAGTGCTACTGTAGAGTCTCTTTTAACTGAATTAAAGAATACATCTCCAAAACTGATTCAAATTTGGGATGAAGCCGCTACCCTTCTTCAATCTTTTGGTTTATACAAGCAAGGTGGTGCAGCTTATGATCGATCAATCATGTGTACGCTTTATAATTCATCTTCAGTTGTCAAACGGCAAACAAAATCAGGTAATATCACTGTTGAAAATCCTGTTCTCAATATTGCTGCAGCAGCACATCCAGTTGATATTTTCTCTTGTGTGTCTGGCGAAGGTGATGATGATGGTTTAATGGCTAGGTTTTTATTCTCAGTTCCTCAACCTTGTATTCCTTTATCATCTGAAATAAAACTACTTGATATTGATGAACCAAGTTTCACGCATTTGCTGTATATTATATATTGTTTTAACATGTTGGAGCCGTGCGATGTTCGACGAAACGATGATTAGAGTCAGCGTATCATTTATACATATTCTGAAACAGCACTGAAAGTAAGAGTTATGCCAATAAAATTTAAATTTAAATTTCGATCTACTTACTTATATGTACAGGTTATAGATAATATTTTTGATGAATATACTTTGCAAATTCGAGAAGCTTATGGAATCGACCAAGGACTGGGTTCGATTTTAGGTAAAGCGAAAGTACAAATAAGCAGATTCGCTGCTGCAATACATGCAACTTCATTGGCTTCAGCAGTTTTCGATCAACTCGCCAATGATGATTCACTACCCGGATACTATGAAAAAAGCAAACCAATGTTCGATTTGCTCAAACGTGCTGTTAGAGGTTTCAAAGAAACACACAATTGGACTGTGATTTCTGAGGCTACTGCAAAATCAGCTGTAGTACTGATGAACTATTTTGTAACTCAAAAAAAGATCTATACAAATCGTAAGTTTTGAAAAATGACATCCATATTTCTATTAATGAAAGTGCTGAAAGTATGAAACAATTATGTACTCTTGATGATTGTATTGGTACAAAGATGCTGAGAATATTTTTTTTCTTCATTTACTCTTTTTGGAAATTTTTTATTCTATCTGTTCCTTCATTCGAATATGCCTTCTTCTTTTTCTATATATCTTTTCTCATTCTCTCTTCTTTTCTTTTTCATTTTCGTACCTGTTCTTTCTATCCTGCTTTTTCTCTCTCTTTCTTATATTTAACATTGCACTAATTCATACGTTCTATTGTATCATTAGTTAGGTGTCTAAGGTGTGAGCAACGATTAAGAGAATGGATAGTGTTGTTGATTTTTCTATGGATATTGTGAAAAGCACAGCTTATTTTCAACAATAATCGTTTTCTTATAATTTTAAGGACCAGTTAACGAAACTTTAGACGAGATGAAACAAAGATTTAAGGAAAAACGAGAGGAACAAGAAACCCTTGAAAAAAAACCAAGTGCTTCAAGTTGAACATCGCCATTCCAAGACATCTCGTCGAATAAGTGATGGAAACGAGCAGCGACACCCAGAAAAGATAATTTTACTCGCTAAGGGCATCAGAATTCCTTGGAGACATATATCCCTGAATCATGGTGGATTCAAAGCAGCAACACTTCATCATGCAGCAGAAAATCTTCAAAAAGAAAAATTAGGTATGATATGGTTTTAACGTCTTTTTAAAATTAGCTACCTATGGAGGAAAAAAACACACTCATAATAATAACAGTCGCTTCCTTTAGATTTTTATTCTGATAATGTTTTGTAGCATGGACATTACGTATGGTTGTTTTAGGAGTGTTGGCAAAAGAAAAGTTAAATGGTGCACATAAAGCAACTACTTTCTTCATAAAGACAACTATTGATCCTAAATGGGATGCTGCACAACTAGCTGCATTCACTATCCAATTAGCACGTTATAACATATCACTAAAATCATATAAAGAATCTCTTCAGTTGGAAAGAAGTTCTGTAGTGAATGAAGCACAATACGGCGAAAATTGTTAGCTCTCGTTTTGGGGATTATGTAGCAATGGTAGAACTAATATTTAGTCTGCCAAAAATAGAGAGCTAAACATGTTTCAATAATAGGTTTTGTCGTCGTATCATATATAGAATATATTAAGTATCGAGTATTCGATACGATAGAACATCAACAACTGCGCAATAGCGAACGAAAATCAATCACGAGGATTAGTCATAGTCGAAAATATTACGTAACAAATCAAAATAGAGATCACAACAACAGATAACACGAATAAACGTTTAGCGTCAGTGAGTGCCATCTACTGACGCTAACAAAAATGTGGACGAACTTTTGACTAATCAAGATATTTCAATGTCATCACCTCCACGAAGTCCTTCATCAAATGGTTCTACATTACCAATGTCAACGGAAACATCACCAACCAAACATATTGTTTCCTCAACTACCATCCTTGGTTTCAACCAAGAAGGCAAACAATTCACCACACCCATACAAAGACGAAAAAACCAAAATACACCAATCCATAATGTATCAAAATGAGATCAGTTCAATGCAAAGGTCATTCAACACACAAAAACGTCCAACACCAAAAACAGAATAGAACCATTGCAAAAGCCAACTTCTCCACTGACATCGCCACAACGCAATGTCTATCAATCACAAGAATACGTATACAAATATATGTAGACCATTTCACAAGAAAAACAATTTTCTTAGCTGTAGACATAATATAGAAACTAACTTCATCTTGGGGAAATAGTCTTATATATACTATTTAAACTACTCTTTTTTCTTCTCTGTTTATTTCTAATTGTATACGATGTTTCGAATCTTAAATTACTCAACAAAATAACTGCCATCTTAATGAATCAACGAAAAAAACTCCAGCAGGCTTAAAATAATACATGGCAGAACATATCATACACTAAAATCGGAAGAAGAAAACAGAACGATTGAATAGTTGAATACTCGGAAAGTTCAATAGTTGAATACTTGGAAAGTTGAATAGTTGAAAAGTTGAAATAATTGAATAGTTGAATAGTTGAAAAGTTGAAATAATTGAATAGCTGAATAATTGAATAGCTGAATAATTGAATAGTTGAATAATTGAATAGCTGAATAATTGAATAGTTGAATAATTGAATAGCTGAATAATTGAATAGTTGAATAGTTGAATAGTCGAATAGTTGAAATAATTGAATAGTTGAATAGCTGAATAATTGAATAGTTGAATAGTTGAAAAGTTGAAATAATTGAATAGCTGAATAATTGAATAGCTGAATAATTGAATAGTTGAATAGTTGAATAGTCGAATAGTTGAATAGTCGAATAGTTGAAATAATTGAATAGTTGAATAATTGAATAGTTGAATTGTTGAAAAGTTGAAATAATTGAATAGTTGAATAGTTGAAAAGTTGAAATAATTGAATAGTTGAAATAATTGAATAGTTGAAGTCGATTTCAATAATTGAATTCAACTTTCACGTTTGACACTACTGATAAAACGCAGCGTCGTGAAATGTCCTTTACTATGATCTTTCTAGCTAATCAGTTAGAGAGTAAGACAGCAGTAATATAATGAGTCAATATGGTAGCTACCCTATAGTCAATCAATCATCGCGAGGGTTGAAAATTGGTATCCATAGTTTTATTACATGTTTGCCTATCGCAGGTTTATACTGAACACTCTCGACGCCGAAGGATACTCCTGCTGGAAGTAGGAGCTCTTCTTCATCTGGAAAGCGAGATAGTGGTGAGATATTCATGGTACGAAAAGTTCGAGAAACTCGTATTTCGAAAAGAACATTTCCGTAAAGATTAGCTATGGCTGGATTTCGACTACATGATACAAATGATTGGAATGACCGAGTTTTCCATTTTCCATTAGAGGCAAGATCTCTAAACTCTTGAATGTTTGCTTCACTCAAGAGTGCTCCACGATAAGCGATATCAGTACATCGACCTTCACTTATAATGTGATGAAAGAGAATTGCGGCAAATGGGCCTAACGTATCTACTTTACTGAACCAAGCATGCTCCTGACCTCTTTCCCCACAAAGACGCATCGTTTGGTTTAGTACTCGATATAGAAAACATTCTCTGGTATAAAGATTAATGCAACATTCACCGATTTCTTTCGGGCTCTTATCCTTAACGTTTCGTAATTGTGCGCTAATCCATTTTGCTTGTTTTGTTTTACCTGATAGCTCACCTTCCTTTAAAATACCTGCTATCGCTGGTTCTACTAACTCGCACACCTTCTGATTAATCTCTTCACGACCCAACTTACTTACATCAACTAGATTCTTTAGAAAAATTGGCTCACGAAAGTCAGTCACTTCGACGAAACTGTTGTGAGGTACTGTAGGATTTGGCATAAATCGATCCTCTCTAAATGTAAAATTTTTCTCAGTGTGTTCTGTTCGTCTCACAGGCTGAGAGCAATCTTCTGAATTATAATAAACAGCTATTTGTTTTTCAAAATCGATGTAGCAATCATCTAATATGGCGCATTTTTCCTTAGCGTGATAGGCTTCTTCGATTATTTCGTTGTCGATGTCAGAATACGAAGTCCATTCATTATTGTCTGAAGTTGCCAGCAACAGTTCCGGATTAGCTTTCCATGCCCACTGGTATTGAATGATATGCAGTTTTCTAAATTCCACATCGGCATGTTGTTCGTTTGCCATCGCCGGATGTACTAGGGAAAGATTTTTATAGTTGTGCTGTGGTCAATATGAAGAATTGTATGACCGAAGGATATAACCCCACCAGTTTTTGGATTATTTCACTCTTTCTATAAATAAAACGGAATTGAAATAAAAACGGTTTCAAGGAAACAACCATCTTATAGCTTTGTATCTTTTATGCTCTGCATAATTGATATGCCAGAGCAACTCATTCAATTCCGCAATGTTGAACATTCCGGAACCAGTTCCGCCCCCGGAATCAGTTCCGTCGATTCCGGAATTAGGTCAAATATGAACACTGTCCGATTCCGGAATTGGCTCATCCGATTCCGGAGCTGGTTCATCCGATTCCGGAATTAGTTCCTCCGATTCCGGAACTGCTTCGCCCGATTCCGGAACTGCTTCGTTCGATTCCGGAATTAGTTCGTCCGATTCCCGGCATTCCACGGAATTCAGTCCAATTCCGGAATTAGCTCAATACGGAATCGGTGGGAATTAGACGGAATTCCTAGAAATTCCGTGTAATTCCGCGTGATTCCGTTCAATTCCTGTTCGACCTAATTCCCGGAATTCCGTACCGGAATTGCATTCGTCACCGAGCTATAAGATACATCAAGTGTGCATTGATCACTCAATTCCGGAATCGCTGGGAATTAGACGGAATTCCGTGTAATTCCGTTCAATTCCTGTTCGACCTAATTCCCGGAATTCCGTACCGGAGTTGCATGGTGTGGGTGTTGCCATAAGTGTGGGTGTCTGTGTGGGTGTTAGCATAAGTGTTGGTGTTAGTGTGGGTGTTGCGATAAGTGTGGGTGTGGATTTTGGTGTAAGTGCGCTGAATTCTGGAACCGTTGGGAATTAGGCGGAATCCGTTTGAATTCCGTGTAATTCCGGAATTGAATCGTAATTGATAAACGGAATTCCGAGAATTAGATGGAATTGGTCGGCAGTGATTCCGGGAATTCCGGAATTTTGTTGGAAGTGATAAACGGAATTTCGGGAACTAGATGGAATTGGTTCCGTGAGCGGAACTGGTTCCGGAATGTTCAACATTGTGGAATAGGATGTATTCTCATATGCCAGAATAGATAGTTAAAACGTAACTGAAAGCATTTTCTTTAAGATATTCTGTAGTATAATAATAGTTATCTGCTTGTTACAGTAGGCGATTATTATGAAGCATCAAATGGCCGATGAAAATGATGAGAAACTGTGTGACGATTTCTGATGTAGTAGATGTTGCATAGAGTGTTATTTAGCTAATACTTTATTTAACTATCAAGAATCGTGCTATACTGTATTTTCTTCGTCCCTTATATACCATTTTATGGCATAGATGAACTTTGATTGATACAGTGTAAATAATATTAGATGAAGGACACATCGAAAGGGGACAATTAATAAAGCGCTTATTGGCAGTGACATATGAAGAATGCCAATTCCTAGTGTATACACAAAAACGATCGTCGTAATGGTAAACTATGTATTGGTGAAGGACAAATTGATAGTGCACGTCTGAAGTGTAAATAAGAGAAGAAGAGATCAAGGTCTATAGAGCTTTGTGTAAATAGCAGCTAGAAGAGGGAATCACAGTCGTTTCAGTTAAGGACTAAGCAACACACTTCAAGTTCGGCTGGATTGTTACAAACTGGTTCAATGTTCTAGTTATGAATCCTGAGTGAAGGATATAAATGTAGTATTTATTTGAATTTGAATTCGTCGTCTAGATATGTGTTATATTATCTTGGTTGAAGATCATTCACAAAAGATCTCTACTCGATACAAAAGCTGTTGGAACGATCCCTGTGTGTTTAAAATGAATGTGACATACAATGAAACTCCTTTTCTGGAACCCGTCTACCATAATCTGTGAGTCTTTGTAACTTTTCTGACACTGTCTGTAATGATATATGGAGCCTTTTGGTCATGGTCTGCATTATGGTGTACGTAGTCGCTAGAGATCATCACAGATCGTGAGAGTAATTAATTAATTAATTTCTCTGTCACGGTCTGTGTGGTGGGGATTCACATTTTCCCCTCTGTACTTCAACAATCCTTTCAGATCATATCTCACACAATGACCTAATACTAAGCTTTACAAGGCTCCATGTCTCTACTTTGTTTTCTGAGTCATTTTTTAAGAGTGTGAGTGTGGTTCGTTCATTCAGTCACCTACACCCACACCTCGGTGACCGCATATATCGTCGCACGACACTTCGTAGCAGAAAAATTATTTTCGTTCTGTTCTTCCCTATCTATTGGTCTCTTCTCTCTTAATGAATTATTTTTTTGTGCATAACAAATGGAAAACTTACCAGTTAATTTCTGTGTATTTTGTGCGTACTAAACACACAACATCATGAGGAACAGATTGAGAAAAAAAATAATATAAACAGAAAAACAAAACTGAAGAAAAAAATGATCTAAAAATTTATGGTGGTCGCTAAGTTTTTTAAGAATTGATTTAGTTGAGATGAGTCGAGGGAGTTGACCAGTCGAATTTTAATGACAATTTTTAATTAGATAATAGGAAAACGATTGGGTTTCGGAGCATGAGAGTATGATATTGGTGGTGAGAGAAATGTGTTCAAGGATAAATTGGCATAACAACGAGTTTCATTGATAAATGATTTTTATTTCAATTAATTGACTGATGTTCAAAAAGATCTTAGCTTTAAAATCTTGATTCTGAGATAGAAGAATACATTTCGTCGTTATTGCCCGTTTTTCAGTATAGATGTAACCTTTCTAGAGTATCATTGCTTTTTCTTTCATAGGGAACAGTTTTCTATTTGAGAAATTTTGCTTCAAAGGTAGTGCGCAGTGAAATTTAAAGTTTAGAAGGGAAATGTATTTTTTTATTTGACTTATTCCCGTAGTTAAGAATGCCAGAGCAGTGTTTTTTAGCTTAGATTACGCTGAAATTCATGAAGCGAGCGACAAATTTAATTAGCTTTCATAAGCTTTAGCAATATCACAATTAAATGAGAATAATATTTTGTGAAACTCACATATATTTTCGAAGAAAATGGTGAGTGTAAGTTTAAAGGCGAGATTTTTGCGACTCCCCACCTCCTCCCCATTACAAACATTAATGAGTTTAAAATTGTGCCAATTAGGAGCTTGACTAATTAAGCTGCTATTTCTCCATTTTTCAATTACAGACTGCACGAAAAAAGCAATGTTTGCCCATTACAGACCATAGTAACTAGCTTAGGGTACCATTACAGACCATAGAAACCAGTCTCTGCCCTTGTTAAATATACGAGCTAACAATTAATACTCCATTACAGACATAAGCAAATAAGCAATGACCTAATTATAGGTTTTGGAAATCAGGGTAGATTTTTCAGATGAGCTATTTTAGTAAGCCGAAGGGATGTATGTGAGTTCCACATTTTAGCCCCAAAGGGGCTGCGCTAACAAGCTTCTCTATTGATCCTTTTACCGAATTGAAATCGTATGTCTTAACATAATTAATTATCTAACGCTATTGTACGCATCTCTTGCAATTTTTCATTTATTTTATGTTATTTCCATTGGTTATAAGGTGCCGTTAAAGCAGAATTGGAGTGAATTTTGATTCTCCTTTATTTATATATGGTTTGATAGAGCTTGAAAAGCTGATCACGAATATATACTTTTTATTTCGATTTACTGAGTGTTTGGCTGAAAAAATCTTAAAATACTGGGAAGACTGAGAAAAACATATTTTTATGTTAAATTTTATTTTTTTTACAAAAATTGCGAAATTTATATTTCAGTTCTTTTCTGAGCATTTTTAAAGTACTATATTCTGAATTAGCATGGAAAACTGAATAGGAAAATGTGATTTGATTAGATGTAGACCTAAAAAAGAAAAAAGTTTCTAATCTCATATAAATAGCTCCATCACACCAAAAGTATGTGTCAGTGAGCGTTCTTGTAAAGCTATCTAGTTTTTTGTAAGAAGTGATAGAAACAATTGTCTCATCTCATTAGAATCGCCGAATCATGGGCTGCACAATTACCTATTTTGTTTTTTCAAATTTTTATTTTTTTGTTGAGAAATTTGAATTTTTTCGCTGTTGTGTGGTAGCATAAGTGTTGGTGTTAGTGTGGGTGTTGCGATAAGTGTGGGTGTGGATTTTGGTGTAAGTGCGCTGAATTCTGGAACCTTTGGGAATTAGGCGGAATCCGTTTGAATTCCGTGTAATTCCGGAATTGAATCGTAATTGATAAACGGAATTCCGAGAATTAGATGGAATTGGTCGGCAATGATTCCGGGAATTCCGGAATTTTGTTGGAAGTGATAAACGGAATTTCGGGAACTAGATGGAATTGGTTCCGNTTTTTGTAAGAAGTGATAGAAACAATTGTCTCATCTCATTAGAATCGCCGAATCATGGGCTGCAAAATAACCTATTTTGTTTTTTCAAATTTGAATTTTTTTGTTGAGAAATTTGAATTTTTTCGCTGTTGGGTGGTAGTATAGAGCAAAAAGACGAAAAATGTGCATTTATTAACCAGTTTTGATAAGAATAACGAAGTCAAAAAGCAAAACCAAGAGCATATTCAGGATCAGCGTTAAAATCTACATCAAATCATATTTGTTTGTTACAAAAATATTTCTGACGGAAAAATGGCTGTGGTCCCCCTCAGGTATAATTTCCTAAAAATTTTCTCTTAGTCCCCCACATATGAATTTTTCTCAGAAAATAAAATTCAATTAAATATATATG